GGAAAATGCAAATAAGCTAGAAAAGAGAAAGAGAGCATGCGTAACTTCACGCAGACCTGTCAATCCGACTGTCAATCATGTAATCCCCGTGTACGCAGTGTTCGCAAGTATTGTTTCTTGTGCAGACAACCGAAACGTAGCGCTTTTCATCGAAGAAGAATAGACGTAATTAGTGGCGTTATCTTGATTATGTTATATTGTTTAAAAATCGGTCAGATGTAAAATTAAATCACCTTTCAAATGTGGGTTTTCAATTTGTGTTAAGACTCAAATGCGGCAGATTTACGAGGTTCGACCATCAATTTCGCCAAGAAAGCAAAACATTACAGAAATATTCCTTTTAGTAAAATTTCCGTACTGCCCCATACTATCGTAAAACAAATCTGTTTTCCCAATGGTAATGTATTGTTTTTGTCACTCTATCCAAGAACTGAACGTATAATGTAGTATGGGGCTGTGCGGAATTTTACCTTCCTTTTTAGCCCGTTATTGCCGTCAGTTTCAGATAACACGTCGGTAGTCTATTTATTTTCGAAAAGCTTAAGTTTACGTTGTAGATTCCCGCTCCACGTAAGTGCACGCTCACTTCCAACTCAGCTTCACCATGACAACACTTCGTTTGCACACGTGACCAAAACAAGCCAATGAGCAACCTCGTTCCGGGTTCCTTTACAATCGTTGTTTGGTAGCCATAGCGACAGATAAACAAGTAGAAATCTTGGTTCGTTTACTTATCTCGCTCATTAATCGCGTGTACACAACGACGTAAACTATGGCTTATGAAATCGGAAAAAAATACGAAGGTCTTCATGACGGTCGATGGTATATATGCACCATCTTAAGTCAAAAAGGCGACAGGTACAGGGTTACCTTCGATGGTTGGAGCCCACAGTTTGACACAGTTCTCAGCGCCGACCGTCTTCGCCCCTGTACAATGATTGACGTTCGCTCCAGAAAGCGTTGGAGACCCAGCGTGAATTTCAACAAGTTGCTGCCAGGCGACAAAGTTTTTATCACCATCGAGGGCATCAGAAAATCGGCCGTGGTCAGAGTGGTGGATCCTTTTCAGGAACTCGTTACAGTGGAGTGCGGAAACGAAGAAATCATTGCTCCTTTCCGCGATGTACTACCACCGCCAGAACCCACTCCTGATACTGTCAAGAGGAGAAGACCAGCAGCTTTGCCCCAAGCAGCGCCAGCAGCATCACCACCACCTCCCGTATTGGCGCCTGTCAGTGTCCAGTCAGCCATAGCCCCGCAGTTCGCGACGATTGTTTGCCTTGATCGTATCAAAATCAGCTGCGGAGATCTCGCGAGCCTCACCCCGAACAGCGCAGACGTCGTCTTCATTGTCCTGGAGCCCTACCAAGACGATTCCGGCTTAGAGGTTCTTATAAATGCTCAGAAGTGCCAGCTGTCAGATGGTGTCGCCGTTCGCCCGCTAGCAAACTTCAGGCTGACCTGCCCGGCATCCGCGGTACACACACTTCAGGACACTAAACTTTCGTCTCAGTTAAAGTGGTCCTAGAAGTCCGACAAGGAGCCATCCTGCGGCTGTCCCAGTCCCTGCAGCTACACATGACCAACCGCGCCTATCAGCTTCAAGTTCGGTGGTACGACTTGGCAGCCAAGCTTCGCTGCGAGATCTACAGAGGAATGTCTTCCAAGGAAGCTCGCACCTTCGTCATCAAAATGGGCCCAGCTGATCTCCGCCACGATCTTGAATTACTTGGGTTAGCGGTTGAAAACAATTTGCCCTGGACCTGCCGTCGCGATCCCTCCTCGTGAAGATTAAGTTCGCAGAGTCCACCAGTTCGTTTCGCCAACACAGCTACCGCCAAGACACTGCTGCTGACTGTTGCTGATTGTTGAGCAATTGGTAAATTATCTTAGTTTGCCTCACAAACGGCTTTTTTAAAAGCCACCAAATGCAATAAAAGTCATGACCAACCGAACAAAACATTTACCCTCTCCCTAAAATGCAAACATCATCGCCAATCAAAAAAGCAAAACAGAACGCGCTTGATAATTTCCATTTCTCCCAAGTCCGTGACTGACTGTACGAAGGTAAAATTAGCAGTGGATACAACATTTTAGTTTGTTCGTATTACGAGGAATTGCAATCAACGTCCGCAATGTTGTTTAAGTTATTGACACAACCTTTGAACAATATAAAAAATGTTTATTATTTTTCTTATATCTCCAACCATCGTTTTGCTTTTTGAGACGATTTAAGCTGTCCTATTTACAGTTCGGTTATCATTAATTCTCATACTAGCGAAAGTTTTATAAGCCTTTTCCCTGAGCTGTTCTCTCTGGCGATTCTCTTTTGTTTCCTCACGAATTTGATGTCTCTCTTCTTTCCTTGACAAATGGAGGTCAATGGCTTTCTGTTTATACTCTCTCTTCTCCAGGTCAGAAAGTTGTCTCCAGTCCTCTGCCATGCTTTGAATTGATTTGAGGAACGTCATCCTTTCTGTTCGTCCAGGACTCTGATTATTTTGCACTCTCTAGAAGCAATTAAAGTAAAAGCACCAGAAATTATTTCACCTTATCGGTCGAAATTTACATAAAAAGTTAATTCAACTAACCTATTTCAATTTCTCATTGAGAAATGCTGTCCAACCATTTGGTGGCTTTTGGGGAAACCATTGCATCTTTTTTCTTCTTGTGAACTCTAATCTGAGATTTGTTACCACTCTTGTCAACTAGGCCATTTTCCACTTCTCTTATTGTTCTCTTCAGGGCAGCAAAACCAGAAATCTCTTTACTGAAACAGTACAATCAAATGTCAGCATGCAAGTATTTTTTCTCTGTTCTCAGGAAGTGATATGACATTAGACTGTGATCATGACCTGTTTGCTTGATTATATCTTAGCATTACCGCAAGGAAAAAGATTCTGATCATTTACCAAATGTTTGTAACCATGTATGATGTTACGACAAGAAATTAGATTCTGATCATGAAATAAGGCATTACCTAAATCGTAACCATTCTACAGACTGCTGCATTGCACCACATGTGCCTGTCGACAAAGCTGCCAGAGGAGTCAGGTCTACTGCATGCTCTTCGACATTGGGTGGAATTCTTTCTTTTACTGCCCACTCAATGAAACTCGGTCTCACCACTCTCCATCCCCTTTGGTAGGCAATAACCAAATCACTATTTAGCTTTGAGCAATCATTTTTGACCTCATCTTCTGAACACACTAGATAAAATCTTTCATGCGGTAGGTTCTCTTTTGGCATTGAAATAACTCTTCCACCATTTTTTTCTACTTTCTCTTTAAATTTCTTCTGTGTTGATCCTAAAACCACACATACAAATACATAATTAACATAAAATCAAATATATAGAACATTTTGCTGTTCTTGTTTATGCAAAAACTTAAAAAAAAAGATATGACGTGATCAGTATTATTATTGTAGGGGGTCTAGAGATATTTGAAAAATTGTTATTTTATGTATATATTTTTTTCTTGTTAATCAGAACTTACAATTACTTAACTTAATTCCTTACTAAAACAAAAGATTGATTAGTTACATTACTTACGAAACATTGTTATAGGATATTATTTACTCTGTTCACCCTATTTAATTGATGCTATTTACACTATTGGTTTAAGGCTAGAGCAGCATTCACTAGTTATACTGTACAAATTATAGTAAATTTTCAACGCGAAGTTTAGGAAGTAATTTGTTCATAAATTCATTAAAGTCACACTTTTTTTAACTTAGTTTTTAACAATATAAGAAGTATTTGGCGAAGAGTAAGCAATAGTTGAATTTAGGTAGTATTTTTTTTTCGAATTGTTTGTTTTGTTAAACCAGAAAATAACTTTATCAAAGAAGGACATAGCCTCTTCACAATCAACAAAGGAATGCAGAATGGAGTCGGATTCATAACAATAAAGACTTTTACTGTCTCTTTCAATCACACAGGCATATAACTCTTTCCTGGTGACTAAGTTTATTTTCTTTGCATGTTTTGCTTATCTGAGTGAAGGCTAGGTTCCAATTAAAATTTTTCAGGTTAAGATCTTTTAGCCATTTCTTTGGACCGGTGGGTTCGATTTTGGTCGCATTAATGTACAGCTGGTAGTAATCTTTGCTATTAATTTTCTTTAAATCTGTGACAATGGAGTAAGAGACTTTGTAGGAAGTGCTACCTGAGAAATTATGCATGTCAACAGGAGATACGATTCTCACCTTCTCAAGTAGATATTTTGGTATCGCTCAAAGAAGTTGAAGATAATTTTAAAAATTACATTTTATGTTATATCTTTGTTGGAATGTTTGAAATGATAAGAACTTTCCATTACAATCGAGAAGATCCTGAATTGACAAGACCGCCTTTTCTGACCAATTTGAGTCGAATATTGAATTGCCATCGATTTTAATTTCCTTGTTGTTAAACAAAAGCAGGTCTGACAAGTAGTTGGGTCTGTATAGGGTCTTTAGTTCAAGAAAGTTCATCAGCATTTGCCGGAAAAAAGTGGAAGGCCGGATTTCGCTAAAAGCTTATTGTCATAGTTGCAGAAAAGGAGAAAGTTGAAACCGCTAAACTTTTCAAATAAGTCTCAGGCGAGTGTGGATCGACTGTCAAAAGTTTAAAGGTCCAAGCTAAATTTCAAGACTTAAACAGGATTTCGATGTTCGGAGCACATAAACCACCTTTGGAATAATCTCGGTACATAACATCCCATTTTATTTTGTCTTGTTTGTTATTCCAGATAAAATTGAAGATAGCACTCTTAATCGTGGGAATGTAGGTATTAGGAATTGTGAGCATCGAGGCCGTGTATATCAGATGAGAAATACCCAAACATTTCACAATGAGGCATTTACTACGTAGGGACAGGCCACGGACCCTCCATATATCCAATTTTGTTTTCATGTTGTCAATTTTCCGGTCTATTTTTTTCTTTTTGTTTTCTTTCTCATTACAAGAGATAAAAGTTCTCGGGGCTCTTGCTGGATCAGCTGTCCACTTTGGTTCAAAGGCTTGGAGTTATTAAATCTCCAGGGCCTACCCATATCGCTTTTGTCTTTTCCACATTTAGCGAAAGACCCGAGATACTCCTGAATTGATCAACCAGTCTCATCGAGTTTTGTACCGAATTTAAGTTACTTAGAAATAGCGTGGTGTCATCTGCGAATTGACTGACCTTGTGTTCTGTCTGGAATAGCTTAATCCCCTCTACTTTGTTATCTTTCCTTATCTCAGGAGCCAATATTTCCACCCCTAAATAAATAGATACGGGGAGGGAGGGCAACCTTGTCTAACTCCCCTTGATACTTTAAAAAAAATTATGTTGTGAATCCATTATTAACCAAGGTCCAAAGTTGAAAAGACTCAGAGTTTGCTGGATGAAGTTCCATTCTACTGTATCAAAGGCTTTCCTAAAGTCCAATAAAAGAAGTATACCAGGGACATCTTGTTGTTCCGTTTGTTCCATTATATCATTAATTAATCTAATACTTTGCCAATGTATCTGTCTTTCATGAAGCACGTCTGATTGCTGTTAATTACATACGAAAGAAATTTTTCTATTCTTAATGCGATGGCTTTTGATGCAATTTTATAGTCTGCATTTAACAATGGTATATGTCGCCAGTTTGATAACTTGCGTAAGTCGGAATTTTCTCTTGGGATCATTGTTATTACTCCCCTACGTTGAGAGATAGACATCTCACCATTTCCATACGCTGCCTTAAGGCTGTTTAGGAGATCATTTCCTACAATGTCCAAAAAACACTTATAAAACTCAACGGTAAATCCATCTTCACCTGGAGACTTTCCAGTTCCCATTAATTTTAGAGCTGCCCATCATTTGTGTAAGGTTAATTTTCCTTCGATTTCATTACATTGTTCTCTTGATAGCTTTGGCATTTGTTGATTTACGTTGGTTGTAAACTCTTGGAAGTCCTCGTTTGTACCATTATTGGTTGA